TTAATGATAAAATCTCTAAAAATAAAAAATTGTTAAAGTTGAACATATTTTATTTTTAGAGATTTTTAGTTTTGGTTCATTATTTTTTTTAAAAATTATATTATTAAACCAAAAATAAATTATTTCGTTATTAACTTTAAATTAAATTATAATATAAAAAAATTACACAATAAAATAAAAACTTTTAAATAATTAATTTGATATTAATTTTAATATATATATTTTTTAAAATTTTATAATATCTTAAAATGTATATTTTATTCCGGGGCTGATCACTGTTGGGCCTTTAGGGCCCTGGCCCCTGTGCTTTTTTTACTACTAAGAAGGAAAATTTTGGTTCATAGGCTGTTACGCTTACACAATTGCAGGCGGTCCCTCCACTCTTGAATCCGGACCTCCAGCAGCGAGCGACATCTATGACCAATGAGGCGTGAGCAGTGACCGACGACAGCCTCCAGCGTGAGAGACGAGACGAGACGGCAGTGAGCAGTCCTCCAGCGGCATCGACATCGACAGTATACGCTCAGTCCTCCTCCTCCCGCCTCCAGCAGGCGGCAGTGCTCTCGACGACTCGACGGGCGACGATAATCGGTAAGTTCTTTTGTTCTTTGTTCTCTCCGACTCTGTCTCTGACGAGTCCATAGCAACTGCTTACTGCTTAATTTTCTTGATTAGGATTTAGGTGATTTAGCCTTTAGGTCAAAATTTATGCACTCTGTCTCGACCCTGTGTAGACTACCTTAGTTCTTGCAAGGTTTCAGTTTCATACAACAATTTGATTGGTGACTTGTGATGGTGTTTTATCTTCCTGCAATCCTGCTATTGTTTGTCCTTGTGGATTCTGATTCTAGAGATGGGAATTTATTTGCATAAAAATATAGCATAAGAAGGCAGGTTTTCTTAGATAAATATATCATTTGTGCAAACCATAGAAGGTCCGGTCGTTTGATTGAGTCTTAGGGGATGTTTACTAGGCTCTGAAAGACCAGGTGAAACCCCATTTCAAGATTACACAAGATCACCAGAAAGATTAGAAGAAAAACAGAAAACTTCGTATACCAACTAAATCTAGAAGAGCAATCATAGATGTGAGTATTTAATGATAAAAGGAAAGAAAAAGGAAATGAATGATTAACCGAGGGGCAAAGCAAAGGTAGCTAGCAGAAGTAATAAAATACATGCACATATGAATTTAAAGCGCAAGTGTTGATGCATCATGATTATATATAAAATATGATTTATTCTTGATTGTGTTTGGAAGTTCTGCATATTTGTTCTCAAGTGGTATCATTCTTAAAAGAAGAAGCAGCAGCAGCTGCTCCTGTATATATTTCACATGATCAGTGGAGCTTAGATGGGGTGATACCAAATTTGCTTCTGAAGCTACTTAATACATGAGCAGTAGAATCATCAATATGCACCAGATCCAATGCTAACACCCAGAATTACATATATGATGAGAACACCATGTTTACTGCGGAAGAGCAACATGGAGGAGGTATTGAAGAAGAAGTCGTTGAAGTACAATGGGTGGCTTCTCAAGACAATGGATATATGGCTAATCTGCGGGATCAGATTGCGACTCAATTGTATTCAAATGCTTCAAATTGACTAAGAAACATGGTCATGTTTGTTATGATTGAAGTACAATGTTTACTGCGGAAGAGCAACATGGTGATGTTTGATATGATTGAAAATTGACTAAGAAATCAGAACATAAGAAAGTGATTTGGAAAAAAAAGTTACAACAATTAGAGGATATTTCTTGATCATGTTTTTGCACCGAATTTTTTTGTCTTCTAGAAGCAACACACCGTTGTCAAGTACATTGTGTCTTTGCACCTTAGTAGTCCTAGACATAGCCGGTACATGGGCTTATTGATGCTTTCCATTTGTTTGCTTGTTTATTTTAGAATCTTGATTGTGTATGTATTGGTTTTCTTGACTGGTTGTTTTATTATGAAGTTCAGCAGGTGCAGCCTTTGTCATTTTGTGGCATCTCATATAGGCAACAAAGTGTAACTTCTACGTTATAACTTTGGGTAGTGTATTTTTGGTATTTTTGAAAGTATATAATATTAGGTCCGGCCCCTGCCCTCGGAAAGTTTGTGTTCCGCCCCTTATTTTATTCAAAAATAAAAACATTATCGTTTTCTCAAAACCACATAAAACTGTATAATAACATCGATGGAGACAGATAATAAACAAAACATTAAAATCAATCGCTGTATTACGCGAGTACCCTTCTGGTATATTTAAGAAACATTCAACATAATTTCTTAGAATATATTTAATAATAACGTATTAACATTGGAGGGTGGCGAACTCGTTACAGAGCCAGGCTCGGCCCAGGCCTACCGTCAATGAGTTGTCCAAAACTCCAGGCCCGCCCTTGCTTGGAGTTGGAATGTTGGGAGTCGTCCAAAACTCAGAACTGAAACAAGCGATTCTCAACCCCCCACCCCCCCGGGTGCCCTTCTCAGTTCCCACGGCTCTCGCCCATGCGCGCAATTCCTCACCGTCTCAAGTGCTGAGGGTCGGACTTGCTCCATTACTTTTGCTAACCTACCGATTACGATCGGTAAGATTCTAATTTCTAGGGTTTACTTCATGAAATCGCAGACTTGCTGACATTGTTAGGATGAAGAGTTATTTTTTTAATGTTGAAACTTAAAATTGTTTAATTTCTAAGATTCTTGCTGGGTATTTGTTGAAATTATTATTTGAAATTGTTTATGTTGGGTATTGCTGAAATTGTTACGATATTTGAAACTTGAAATTGATTTGCTTACTTTCTTTTCTAATTTCTTTGCTGTTCAGTGTTGAAACTTGAAACTGTCAAACACTTGAAGTGTCACTTCTGTTGGAGCTGTTGCTCTTATGAATCAGGATGTTATTGAAGTGTTTACTTCTTTTCTTGAAATTTTTAGCATATTTCGCACTTTAGTTGAAATCTATAGGATATTTGACAATTGCTAAGAGGACCACGCTAAACAATATTCCTGCCTCCACCCTTGTCTCTAACAATCATATGCACTTATTTCGCTATTTTTTGGGGTAAATTATAGTTGAGGCTCATCTCTACAGCAATGGATGACGATGTTTCAAACTCACTCCGTCGCATGTCGACTCGAGCTCGTAAAGTTGCTCCAAAAATGGTAGCTGCACTTGCCAGCACTGATAATCGAACTCAGGTTATTTGAGTTTTTCATTTGATGCTTCGATGTTGCTTGATTTGATTGAAATTGGGCTTACTTTAATTTGTACGCTCTGTTTAAAATTAGGCAATTCTTGCTCGTCTTGAAGCGCTCGAGAATGACAATCCTGGAGCTGAAGTGGTAGAACCGAACGATGATGATGATGCCTCCCTTGATGAAGATGATGATCAGGGTGACTATACTCTCATTTTATTTCGTTTAATATGTAATTATTAATATTATTTATGGATGCTTATATCTACCTTATGAAGATGATGACGGTGGTTATCAGTGAGCAGAAATCCCTCACTTTGAAATACCACATTTGGCCTTTTGAGCTTCAAATTGGTTTCTTTTAGCTTCAAATTTAGGGGAACATAATATTCCCCACATTCAACCATGTAAAGAGAATCGGGGTAGAAAGATTATGGAGATTAAGTAACGAAAACAACTATGCAAATTTGAATTTTGAAAGCACAAAGTACTAGGAGACTATGTGTAAGCATTCATGTTGTAGATATATACTTGATATAAACTGAGAAATTCTATTGAGACTGATCCACGTGGCTGCAATAACAACTTAACAAGAATTGTGAACTTGTTGCCCATCTCTAATCTTACATGTTTCTTTCCCACCTAAAACTGAGGTTGGATGATGAAACTTGAAACAGTGATGGGTGAACTGCTTCTGCTGATGATTTATGCTTATTCTAGGGTTACTTGGATGAATATATGATGCATGTTAGCATTTGACATTCTTAGCAAAGTCGTCGTTATGCATTGGTAACACTATGCTTCAGGAGCAAATTTCCGATTCTTCATTATAAATGGCTCGCTCTAGTGTGACTTACTATGACGACCTTTGGCTCTTGCTAGCCCTGTGAAGGACTTGCTTCGGATTATTAGTTTCAATGTTATTCATATGTAAATTTCCAGCAATCCTATTCATAGTTCTTTGAATTGTAGATTATGCTCTTGCAATCAAAGTGTTCACAAGTGATAGTGTCCTTCTGTCTTCTGTCTTCTTGCTTTTGCTTTTTCATTGTTTTTCTGTTTATCCTCATTCTTTTGCAGTTTACCATAAAAAGCAATCCAAAGGTACCAAACGTAAAACTCGTCAAGCCAAAGCACTGGAGACCGCAAAGAAGGCCCCGAGAACGTTCCTTGAGCTCTTGCATGATGTGAGCGGACCAGATTTTCTTATTTGTTATTTTTGTTTTATTGAACTACCAAGATCTCATTGTACTATTTATGAAACAGGCAAACCTGGAATCCTTGCCTCCTCATGTGCCATCCTATCTAAGGGCAGCAGTTGGGCCTCCAAGCTCCACTTGCCGCCGCCATTTTTGCACTGTTTGTGGTTTCTCAGCAAAATATACATGCGTAAGATGCGGAATGCGTTTCTGTGCAGTCCGTTGTCAGAATATTCACAACGATACACGCTGTCTGAAATTTGTTGCTTAGATCGGTGAGAATTTTTAAGGGAACCTTTGAGATTTACAAAATATCAAGCGGTGGCGAAATATACTCTAAATCATATTTGTATTTCATAAAGTTAACTTCTACAGAGTCCCAATTTTTTTTAATGGAATCATCCAATTTTGCTTGCTTTGCCTGTCATGAATTCAGGTCCAACATTAGCTGCACATAACTTGCACATTCTTACATAGCTGGATCATGAGCAACATTCTTTGTCTTATTATTGGATCTGCCAGAATTTGTACGTGATAGTGATCCTAACCTCTCTTATTCGTACTTGATAACTTGGTTGCTGCTTGTTACACACTGGAGGGTCAACTAGACAAAATAGAAGTGCATTAGTTAAATTGGGTGGGTTGCGATAAATGAGTACAAGTGGTTAGTGCAGTAGTAGAAGTAGGTCAAGCGAGGTTAGTAAGTCGGTTAGTAGTTTTACCAAGTATAAATAAGGGGTTGCAAGAGAGAAGAGGGGGGATCAACGAGTTCTGTAATTAGTTTTCTCAAAAGCTAGAAACCTGCTGTAAGCTTCTGATTCGAAGTGCAAATACAATTCAATTTACTCATGCTGGTCTTGTGTACATCACTGCTATAATGGAACTGTCATATCCAAAGTGCTGCTAGAATTTCTTTTGTGATCCTACTGGTGTTCATGCCAGTGATAGAGCATCCTATCGAGAAGTCAGTTATCAATGGATTTTTGCAACAAGAACATCTCCAATCTGGACCTCCAGAATTGGTCATGAGAATTGTCTATTAAATTTTGTTCACTGGTGTCTCTTGAACTGTTTTCATAGGTGAAAATGAAATAAGGAAATTCAAAAAGAAAACCACAGCAAAAACATGGAAGAAAGAAAGATGACTACTTATTCAGAATCTGCAGTTGACGACATTGGAGAAAAGGATTGAGAAGGTCCTCACGAATGCATCCATTGGTCTCCAACCTTGTGGTAAGCCTTCTTCATAAATCTCTTCACAAGTTTTTGGCGCCCCATTGAAGTTGTATGTCTTAGTTAGACTATGCATGATCTTAGTTGCTATATATACTGTAATGTGAAGATAAATTGTAGCTTTCCCAACACAGTCACTGGCTCTCAGTTACTGTTTCCATCTGCCTTGGCCCATTTTCTCTCTTTTCTCATCTCCATTTTTTCTGAAATATATACATTATACGGCAAATACTCACACACACTCATCATCTTTTGTGAGATTTGAACCCTTGACCTCCAAGGAGGTTGCGATCTTACTGGTAACTTGGATATGGCTGGGCTTGGTAATAGCTCCATTTTATCAGTTGAGCAGAAGGTAATTTTATTATCACATTCTGCAATATAGACCCAACAAAAGGACCCATGAACCATCCATGATTGGAATTTCCTTTAATTTTCTTTTGCAAAAGATCCAGGTGAAAGCAGCTGGATCTATGTTTTTTCTAGTTAGACGTGGAACGTTTTTTGGAGAACTGATGTTCGCATTAATTGCATTTCATTACGCACTACTGTTGCAATTCTAGTATGCACTACTGTTGCAATTCTAGTATGCACTAACTGTACTCCATCCTAGCCACTTACTTATCTTTGGACCACACCACTGTATGTCCTATAACATATTGTTTTGGAATGCTTTATTTTAACTCATTTGCGTTGGTAGACAATGACATCATGAATTTAATGATGAAGATTTTTTTCCTGTTGATATTAAATTATCAAGGTTTATTCAGTTTTGCTTACAATCCCATAGTCCAAGCCCCAATGAAAAACCCAACGTTCATCTCAAATTCAGATTTTAAATAGCTTGCAGTATCTCTTATTTCATCAAAAGTACCTGTTATGTTCATATCATCAACATATACAACTACGATTGAAAATCCAGAACTTGTCTTCTAGGGCACAATTCGTCATTCTTATATCATTTCCCAATCAAGTATTCACTCAGACGGGTATAACACATCCGCCCGGATTGTTCTAATTCGTAGAGTGAGCGTTTCAGTTTAATTGCAAACGCACTCCGCGGTTTAGAGTTACTTGAATTGGGTAGTGGAAGGCCATTAGACATTTTCATGTATATCTCTGAATCTAGATCCCCATAGAGATATGTGGTGACCACATCCATAAACTGCATTTCCAATCCTTCGGGAACTACTAGGCTAATTAGATAGCGGAACGTTATTACGTCAATTACTGGAATATGTCTCCTCATAGTCAATTCTAGGGAGTTCTGAGAAGCCTTATGCCACAAGGCGAGCCTTATATCTTGACTTCATATTCTCATTACACTTTCTGACAAAGACCCATTTTTGTCCTATAGGCTTTACACTTGGTGGGGTTAGCACCACCGGACCAAACACTTGTCTCTTTGCCAAAGAATCTAGTTCGGCCTGGATTGCCTCCTTCCATTTAGGCCAGTCTACTATTTGTTGACATTCTTCAACTGAGCGTGGTTCGATGTCATCGTGATTTATGATCTCATGAGCAACAGTATATGCAAATATATCATCAATGAGTATGGATGATCTTTCCGTCAACTCATGTGCATTCTCATAATTCATTGATATTTCTTTGTTCTCTGGAATCAATATTGATTTCGGAGTGTCCTCCATTAATGATTCCTGGAGATAACTATAATCAGAGACAATCTCATGAGAAGGATCTTCAGCATTGATGATAAATGGATCAGATTCTGCCTTACTCTTCTTTTTCTTTCTTGGATGAGTGTTTATTGAACCAAGTAGCCTCCCCATTTTCCTTTTGGGAGCCATGGCCTCAACCATATTTCCACTGTGTGATTGCAAAACACTTTCCAATGGTGTTGTGCCCTTGTTTGGGGACTTCTAATCTTGCAGGTACATTTGCAGCTGGTATATGTGATCTTGTCACTTTTGCAATATCAGTGAACGCATCAAGTATCGAGTCTGCTACGTTTTGAAGATTTAGTATTCGATTTATATTCACTTTCACATTGTGAAGTACGGGGATCAAAATGAAACAGAGGGGGAACATTCCATGACAATTTCTGTCGTTCCCTTGGAAAATCATTTTTCCTATCCCCCCAACGACGGGAAGACTGTATCATCAAAGTGAAATCCGTAAATCTTGCGGTAAATAGATCACCCGTCAAGAATTCTAAATAACGGATAATTGTTGGTCATTCATATCCAATGTATATACTTAATCGCCTTTAAGGACCCATTTTAGTGTGCTGTGGGGGGCACAATTGACACATATACTACACAATCGAATATGCGTAAATGTATAATATCAGGCTCATATCCAGTTACCAACTGATATGTAGAAAATGGTTTGCTAGTAGTGGGTCTAAAGTGAATAAGTTAGTGTTGCATGTAGTATTGCATATCCCCATTGAGAAATGAGTAAATTGGTGCGCATAACCAATGTCCTGACTACCATCTGTATCTTTTTGATATTAGCTTTTGCAAGACCATTTTGTGTGTGCACATGGGGTACGAGATGCTTTATATCATTCCCAATGGACATGCAATAATCATTAAATGCTTCTGATGTAAATTATTCAGCGTTATCAAGTCGTTGATAGGATAATCGGGGTGGTGAGCTCTAAAACGTATAATTTATGCTAGGAGTTTTGTGAATGCATCATTTCATGTGGACAATAGTGCGGCATGCGTCTATTGTGTTGATACATCAACCAGAACCATAAATAAATTTAATGGCCCACATTCTGGTTGTTTATGTCCATAAATATCACCTTGTATTCATTGTAAGAATGAAGTATTTTTATATTATATCCTTAGCTTTTAGGATAGTCTCATTCATGTCTTGGCTAAGGATTAGGGTTTACAAAAGTTGTAAGTATTCTAGATAGCATATTATGATGGTATGTTGCTTCTTGTGTTGTAAAAGTCAATAGCATATTATGATGGTATGTTGCTTCTCATTCATGTGTTGATGTCTATTTTGCTACACATGGATCATTATGTCATGACCATGGTGTCCCACATGGTCATATTGAAACATATATGTCATTGTTCCAAAGTTCTTTATTGACGACAAAATATGATTCAATAACCTAAATAATCCACTAGTTTGACACACTTATTTCTCTAATATATGTTTCTTTCATATCAGTAGAGTTTTTTTTTTTTTTTTGAAGTATATAATATTTATATATGGCAAATAGAACAAATAAACTCACACATCCTTCTCACCTTTGGTGAGGTTTGAACCCTTGACCTCTAGAAAGCCAATGACTCACATACCGCTAGGCCGAAAGCCCTTTGGTAACATATCAGTAGAGTTAATGTACATATACCTATTTCCATTCTTATAATATCATTTTCAGTTGATACAAATATCTTAACAATGTTCCTATTAATATAATGCTTTAGTGGCTATTAATCTTGTACTAACAAGAAAATGATAGTTCATAACTTAAGTACTATGGTGGGAGGAATTATAAAATAAATATTCGTTTATTTTTTAAACTTGTGTGACAAAAACACTCAAGTTCTCCTTGATACATTCCTATACGGAACGGAGAATTCTGAGAGTTTTATATTTGTTTTCATGTATTTCTTTACATCTATAATGGTTATATATTCGGTTTTATTTCGACAAATGAAATTAATTTAATACTTTAAAAAAATTTCAAATAATCATATGCTCAATCAATCGTAGATTAATAAGATATAGTTCATTTTCAAATTGTTTTCTTTTTTGATATGAGCGATTATTAGTACATATGACCTTGATCCTTTTCACAGTCTTGTCCACATGGTGTATAAATGTCAAGTGAGTGAACAACTGTCCTTTGGGATTATTTCCATACTTTGTTATATATCTCAACCACTTGTAGTAGATTGATGAGTTTGTTCTAAATGTTATATTCGAGTTTATGTGAACAACTGTCCTTTGGGATTATTTCCATACTTTGTTATATCTCTCAACCACTTGCAATAGATTGATGAGTTTGCATCATGTCATCTTCTGTGAGTTCCTTGCCACAGAGATATGTTTATCTCTATAATGAGATCGTTATATCCTTTAGATGATGACACACTTATTCTACAATAATGTTAATATTTTTCTTTATAATGTTATCATATATTTTGTATATTAATGTGTAATTTCTTTTTATATATTTATCCAATAAAAGAGTTTATGATAATTAAATGTAAAATAAAGATAAGGTTGGGAAAACAAATACAACGAAAAGTTTCGTCTTTCAATTTTTTTATTGTTGATTTTGAAATATTATCATAACTATATTTAGAGTAACTAGAAGAATACTCGCGCAATGCAATGAGATACATCTCGATTTTAATGTTAACTTTTATTCTGTCTTTGTTAATGTTATAATACGATTTTATGTGGTACTGAAAAAACGATAATGTTTTTATTTTTTGAATAAAATATGAATTTGAATGTTTAGTATCAAATTAAATATTTAAAAGTTCTTGTATTTTTTGTGTAATTTCTTTAATTCAATTTTTTATTATAATTTAAATTAGATTAATAATGAAGTTATTTATTTTTAGTTTAATAATATAATTTTTTACAAAGATAATAATCAGTATTTTGTTAGAATTTAATAATTATCCTAAATATATTTTAGATTTTTTACATTTAAAGTGAAATATTTATCCAGTATTTGATTATGTTTATCTGCAGTTAATTATACGAATTCAAACATAAAGCTTTAATAAATTGTACATACGTGCAATTTACTTATAACTTTGATTTTTAAGTAATATGCATCAATAAACAGTACTTAATACATAAACAATGTTTTCTAAAAGTTTTTGTCAAATAATTTATAATATATTATAGATATTACAATTACTATAACAAATTACACATAAAATAAGTATTATATTTACAAATTATGTTTTACTTATATATTTGATGTTTAACTATATTGTCTATAATTTAAAATGACTTTTTACTATTTATTTGTTATTTTAATAAAAAAAAAAGATATAGGTATAGATATGTATCCATTTTTAGGGCTGTAAATAAACCGAATGTTCAGCGAACCGTTAGTGACCGTTCGGTGGGAAGTTCTTTGATGTTCGTTTATTTAATAAATTAACGAACATGAACAATTTTTTATGTTCGTTTAGTTAAACGAACGAACATAAACAAAAGTCTCGTTCGTTCATTTATGTTTGTGAACGTTTGTTCATTTACCGTTTGTTTATGTTTGTTCGTTTATGTTTGTTTATATATTAAATTTAATATATAATTTATTTATTTATTTACATCAAATTTAAATAATATTTATTTTTGTTTGTTTAGCCCATTCGTTTATGTTCGTTCGTTTAACATGTTAACGAACGAACATAAACGAACACGAACACACCTGATTTCTAAACGAACGAACACGAATACAAAGATTTTCGTTTGTTTACCGTTCGTTTGTTCGGTTAAGTTAAACGAACGAACATGAACAAACCTATATCCGTATTCGTTCGGTTCGTTTACAGCCCTATCCACTTTATTACCCTTATAACCCTTACCCTACTCTATTTAAACCTCTTTTTCAAACCTACATACCCTTATCTCCTATGAGATTACTTGCTTAAAAAGTTAATTACACTTTTTAATT